ATGTAATAAAATTCAATCAAAATATAATGTTTTTTTCCAAAAATTGTGTTTTAATTTTTTTTACTGCCTGTCAGCTAGTACAGTGGTTCTCAAAGTGGGGGTCGGGACCCCTTGAGGGGTCGCGGAACAATGAAGAGGGGTCGCCTGGTGATTTCCAAAAATCTACTTATTATTATTATTATTAGGCCATAAGAATTACCATATTTTATCCATAACCAACTGAAGAGAATAAAACAGTCATTTATAGTTACTATAGTAGCTTTTTTACTAGTTCTATTGGATTGCGACCCCTGGGGTAAATACATTATATTAAAGACAGCAATAGCGTCAGATGCAGCAGATTGATTTTATAACACCAGCTTAAACTTTCTGGCCCATTTACAGCACTGACATACATAAAAAAAAATTAAACGAAGAATAGACTTTGGTCTATTGGTGTGTGAGTGCGCCATTGCATGCAAGTTTTCTGTATTTATAACCACCTCAGAGGATATTGGGGGTCGCGAGTCACTGGCATTGTTATTTTAGGGGTCGCGTGCTGAAAAGTTTGGGAACCCCTGAGCTAGTAGAGTAGATGTCATCATTTATTATTATACCATATGACCACTAGGTGGTACAATAACAGCGTTTTGTCCACAAATATGAACCTTTCATATTAAAAAGTGGTTTAAATTGCACTTGTAAAATATGAAATGAGCTTAAAAATAGATCTCATATCATACAAATATTTAGCAAGAACATTGTTTATGGAAGAGGAATGTCTTGCAGACATATTATTTAACCCCAAAATTTTTCAATTCAAGTTTACTTGTATAGCGCTTTTCACAATAATTATCTTTCTAAAGCAGCTTCAAAACAGGTGCAAATCAATACATTACAGTCAAAATCAGAAGAGTTAACTCTTTAACTCCTCATGTCTTTAGTTAACACAACTCAATGTATTTTCTTTCAACACATAATTTCTAATATTTCAACCTCTACCAAATGGCTAGTATGTCGGTTTATGGTAAAAGTACCAGAAATAATACATATACTATGAAACAATCTGAAAATACGGTGTAAGACCAACTTATTTCAGAATTCTGAGATTAAAATGTCCCAATACTAAGAAATCTGACTTGCAATTCACAATTCTGAGAAATAAATGTGTTGATTTGAGGTATAAAGTCAGAAGTCTGAGAATAAAAGTCCCAATACTTGGTTATAAAGTCAGAAATCTAACTTGCATCTCACAATTCTATGAAATAAAGTAAATCTGAGCTATAAAGTCTGAATTCTGAAATAAAAAGTCCCAAAACTAAATTATAAATTCAGAAATCTAACTTACAACTTACAAAATTTAAACATTTGAAATAAACATTTTTAAATATTAAATCATCTTTATATTTTGAAGTATGCCATCAAATATTTCTCATTTAACACCGTTTCTTGTTTTATTGTATATATTATCCAATAAAACCAAAACCAAGTGTAGTAGTGCAACAGGATTATGTTTATTTATTTATTTATTTTTTTTTTTTATTTTTTTTTTTTGTAAACCAACAATGCTGTGTATGTAAACCATTATTTAAAACAGTCATTTTTTTTAAACAGTCAAAATATGGTTAACCATTTAGTAGAGCAGACAGTTAAAGGGCTGAGGAGTTGGGTATAGTGTGGGCAGTACATAGTTAACCTGCTGTTATACAGTTTATAATATCCTTTCATAAATCTAAAATCCTGTCAGCATTTACTCATCCTCCATATGTTTCAAACCTTTGAGTTTCTTTCTTCTGTTGAACTTGAAGACAATATACTGAATAATATCAAGAAAAAAACAGCAATTGTATGTTTGTGTTCCTATTATAGACGTCAATGGCTGTTTTGTGTTCAACAGAAATTCATAAAGCACTTGAATGTGAGGATATTTCGGGCTGAACTATCTCTTTAAGCAGGTGCACAAAGCATGGCACTATGGTCTGTTTGAAATGGCTATCTAGAAACTGCAGGAAAAGATAAAACCTACTGTTCAAACAAAACAAACCCCCTCTTCAGATACTGATCTCAGACCTGTGCCTATTCATAACACATTCAACGAAGGCCTGTTTTACTCACTGAATATGAGCCCCACCCAGCTATTCAAACACAACTTAACAGGAAGAAGAGATTTAATTTACCCGCCTCACTGAGCCCTTTGTTATAATGTACACACGGATTTTACAGCAGCGTAACAAGGAGAAGACTCATTTAATACTTCATGCATCTCTGTATTGTATTTTGACAAATGTTCACAATCTCCTAATGGGATCTGTGCCAGCAAAAATCTCAGGTCCATCATTTAATAGTTATATACTTGCTCTAATGTGTAAAATGTATAATAATTTTTGTATAAATTTCAGTAATATTGAATAATAGGGGCGGCACGGTGGCTCAGTGGTTAGCACTGTCACTTCACAGCAAGAGGGTCACTGGTTTAAGTCTCCAGTTGGCATTTCGGTGTGGAGTTTGCATGTTCTCCCCGTGTTAGCATTGGTTTTCCTCACAAAACAATGTCCAAAGACATGCTCTAAGTGAATTGGGTAAACAAAATTGGCCATTTTGTGTGTGTGTGTGTGTGTGTGTGTGTGTGTGTGTGTGTGTGTGTGTGTGTGTGTGTGAGTGGGTGTTTCCCAGTACTGGGTTGCGGTTGGAAGGACATCCGCTGTGTAAAACATGCCAGAATAGTTGGCGGTTCATTCCGCTGTGACGACCCCTAATAAATAAGGAACTAAGCTGAAGGAAAATGAATGAATAATCTGCTAATGTTTAGATGATCTATGTACAATACAAAGGGCAGAGTTATGTACCCTTATGGAGGATCAGTAATGTTGGTGCCGTATGATCCACACACACATTCAAATTAGCATATTAAAGACCAAGGCCATTCTTAATAAAAGCAGTTCAGACAAATAGAGCAGTGTAGTGTTTAACAGCACAGCTGCATGCCTCTGAGAATCCCTCTTTTATAAGCTTCTTTTGAGATGCAAACTATGCACTAAAATTGTCCCTATATCTATCTTTTGCTTCTATGTGTACACAAAATGTTGTCCTGTCTAACAGAATAAAGTTTGGTGTCATGCTATTTTCTTCCCTCTGTATGAATGCTACTTTTATTCCATGAATATGTTTTTGGTTTTTAGAGAGATTGTAAGAGCTTGCTGATTTTCGTCAACATTTCCTCCATCTCTGCCACTGCTGTGTTTATAGAAATATACTATTTCATGGGAGTAAAATGTTATTCATGGACATTTGTAAAATCAGATTAAACCTGCAGAAATCAATACAGCAAAAACAACTTAATTTCATTTGACTTGCTCTTACACTACCTGACAAAAGGCTTGTCGTCGATCCCAGATGTAAGAGCAACAAATAATAACTTGACTTCTCGTTGATCATTTGGAAAAGTGGCAGAAGGTAGATTTTGTTGACGAATCCTCTATTGAACTGCACCCCAATCATCACAAATACTGCAGAAGACATGTTGGAAGTTCCTGAAAGCAAACAAGGTGAAGGTGCTCCAGGATTGGTCAGCCGAGTAACCACACATGAACATTATTGACTGTGTCTGGGGTAAAGAGGCATTGGATATGAATCTAAAGAATCTTGATGAACTCTGGGAGTCCTGCAAGAACACTTTCTTTGCCATTGCAGATGACTTTATTAATAAGGGATTTGATTCATTGTAGAGATGTATGGAGGCAGTCCTCCAAGCTCATGGGAGTCATACTCAATATTAATTCTTTTTCCACTGCAGCATGACTTTATATTCTATACTGTACATTATTTCTGTTAAGTGACAAGACTTTTGTCTAAGCAAAGTCAGACCTTACTGTCCTAATTAAGTAATTTAAAATCAAGGCATGATCATATTTTATTTTGGTAAAATAAGCGTAGAGGCATTTGTTTAGTATTATTTGTTGTTCCTAAAACTTGGATAGGTGACAAAACCTGTCAGGTAGTGTATTGTTGACAATATATATATATATATATATATATATATATATATATATATATATATATATATATATATATATATATATATATCATGAATGAACCAGCAACTTCTCCAGCATATATTTGATAATATATTGTAAACTTTATGTTGATATATGTATATATGTGGAGAAGCAAGAATTGTAAAAAAACAATATTTTGTTGATGTTATTGTAATTGCTGAAAAATGTCAATTGATCTTTTATTTCAGATGTGTCTGAGATCTCTTCAGATGTCAGAAATAAATATTTAAATATAGATCTAAAATACTTTTAGGAAAATGTCTAGTTTCTTTTGTTGATGTGTTATTTTTTTCTATTCACAGTCGGCTACACATTTACTTATCTTAATAACATTTTAACTTCATATTATCTACTTTGATTTGCTTGTTTGAATCAAATGTATTTATTTAGTTAAATCAAGTTTAAGGACAATTAATTTATTCTTATATTTATTATTTGAATCTAATCTGATACATGTGTTTTTTTATTATTAAATATTTGTTAATCCTTTTTGTCTTTTTATCATTATATATATATATATATATATATATATATATATATAAAATCACCTTGGAATTACAAGGCTCTATGTGCGTTCTGAATGATTTTGAGATATTGAGCTTTAAAGTTTTTGCATTCCATATAGATAACAGTGTGTAACATTTGTTTTTTTTTTTTATTAAAAAGTCTTAAAATGTAAACAACTTATAAAAAAAACATCACAAATTGTAAATAAGTTGTCCTTTAATAAGAATATGTCAATAACTCAATTTTGACAAAAATGTCAAATAAAACCTCATAATTCTAAGGTGACTATATATATATATATATATATATATATATATATATATATATATATATATATATATATATATATATATATATATATGTAAACAATTTAATGTATTGCTTTTGCTTCAAACATTTCTTAACACTCCCTCGTGCACGCCTATTTTTGTGTTCCTGCTCGTTAAATGGTAAACTCCAGTTCGAGTCCTCCTCAGTCATGCTCGCTTTTCAAACAAATGATGGTGATGCCGCTTGTTGGATGCTAGATGGGCGGGGTCAGAGTTTGTAAAGTGACATCACTGCCCTCTGAAGTGAATTTCGGTACTTGACCCCGTTGGATGAAGACCGGGAGTCCGATGGGCTTTTTGGTGGCGGTTTGATCCTTTTTTACTTTAATAAATTGTCGCGTTAGGATTCGGTAACCTTCCTTCACACTGAAGCTGAGCTCACGGTGAAACGCGAGGGTAAAGCGGCGGATAGAGATAAACGATTGCTTTTTCTACGTTTGATTATCTTTAAGCATTTACACAGGGAACCGCACACCTTGTCGCCGGTGTGAAGTCGTGCAGGAGACTGAAGGAGAGAAGTCCTAATCAAATCAAGCGCTTTCAAAATCATCTGAAGGTAAGCGAATGACATTTTACAACATGTTTGCTTTGATGATCCTCCAAACACATGCTCAGTCACTCAGTTTGGGACCACACTCAACTTGGTTTATATGTTGTGTTGCTTTTTTTCCTCAATTCAGTGTTGGTTTGCTTCGGGTTGTGCATGTTTGGGTTTGGGCTGGGCTTTGCATCGATTTATAGACACATGGTATGAACTGAACAGCGGCCTGTGCTCAGTTTATAACATCGATTCTTTCTGTTTATAGATGCACGTCTGTATTTCAGCACACGCGTGAAGGGCATCGCGATTTAAGAAATGACTCGAGTGATTCATCGTTTTTTTTTTTTTAGCCGAGATAATAAAAAGATGATATTCCGCTGCAAAAACATAATTAAAATCAATTATTCATCTGTCTTAAACACAAACGTCGTTTTATTCCGCATATGGTTTCCTCTTATATGGCGTTAAATTCTAATATGAAGCGCGTGTGTTGGGATTCTGTAATGTTTGGTGTTCAGGAATTCATTCTCTGTTTGAACCGAAAGGCGCGCTGAAGGCATCGGTTCACTTGACAAATGAATCTATAGTGCACGCTGAGGTCTTGTTTGCTTTCTCCTCTCTTTATTTCACAAAACTCAGGGCTTGATAGTGTAAGTGGATTTTCGTCTATTGCCGTGGTTTGATATGGATACGGGCTGTACGTCGGAAGCTCGTCTGCCTGCTTTTGGCTTATCGTTTGAATCGCGTTGATGTCATACCATGTTATCACGCTGCCCTTGTAACGCCAGTAGGTCTGTAGATAACAGCAGCGTGTCTCTCATCACACCCTGCCTCTGTTTACCTTCTTCTGCAGTTCAGTCCTGGAAGTTCATGACCGCTTTTAGTGCTAATGGCCCGGATATTCACGCGGCCTCGGGGAACTGTTGTCTATTCACTAGTGTTTCTTTCTTGAGTGGTCTCTTGCTGTGTGAAAACTGTAGAGTTTAATGTGAATTCGGCCCTTTCTTGCAAGTTGAAGGGTTTACACGCATAACGTTAGGTGCATACCACTTTGAAGACATTTTAAATAATGTAACACTTATGTTTTATAAAGTATGACTATTTAAAGTATGACTCGCTTTTTCTATATATGGAGGATTGCACGTCATGCTGTCCAATTACTGATTTTGTGTATTTTAATTTTATTTAGTAGTTTATCATGGTACACATGGGATATTTCACCCAATTGTTTTCTTTTTTAATTATCCTCAAGTGGTTCTGTACATGTGTGTTCAACAGAAGAAACTCAGAAGCTATTCTGAAGAACCATTGACATCAATCGAAGGAAAAACAAATACCGTGGAATAGGGCTGTGCAATTTATTGAAATCGAATCGCAATTTGAAACGCTGTGATTAGTTAATTGCAAGAGGCAGCAATATGAAATGTATATGTACTATTTAATTTCTCCCACCCAGAGCAAATGCGTGACTACCATTTGTGTGTGACAGTCTTACTACCCGTTTGAGTGCGCACACTTTCGTTCTAGAAAATAAGGATTGCGCAACAGAACTATGCGGCACGCTCACAATTAAAAAAACAAATAGGAAAGCTATGATGGGATAATGTCATCTTCCGCTTCAGAAGCGTTAACAGACAAAATAATATAAAAGAAAAACAGCATTGGTAATGTGGGAGCATTTTGGTTTTAAAGTCACAAAGACAGGTCATTTTTAAGAGGTGTTGCAGCATTTTTGCCACGGCTTACAGATTGAGCTGAAGTTTGACTACAAAAGTAAATCGCAAATCAAATCGCAATACCTGTCAAAAAAATCACAATTAGATATTTTCTCCAAATCGCACACCCTACCGTGGACGTCAATGGTCACAAGTTTCAAGCACTCTTCCTATCTTTATTTTTATGTTCAACAAAAGAAAGAGACACAAACAGCAATAAAACAAGTGAAGAGTAAATGGTAACACATTTTTGCATGAACAATCCCTTCAAAACATACAACAAGTACTTCTAAATGGTTTATATTGGTATCTGTGTTTAAGTGCCAGCAGACAGTCCAAACAGAATAAGAGTGGAAAAATTCATGCATCCAAGCCACTATGGGTGTGGTTCCACTTGGCCAGTTTGATTGAATAAAACAAACTGGTGTGATTGCTCTATTAGTGTTGTTCATTTGAAAAAGTGTAAATGCTTCCACCTGAACCTTGTAGCACACCAAACAAGTGGAGTTAAGCTGTGGTCACACTGGACTTTTCTTATATTAGACGTTTATTCATGCGCATGCAACTGCGTCAGACCGGAAATTCAAGCTTGTGCGAAAAGTTTCGTAGTTCACTGCATTGGAAAGTTCAAGCTTGGTGAACTCTGGCTTGCGGAAAGACCAATTGAAGATCAGTACATGACCTCTCTAGACACAAATGTAAAATATGAAGCAGTCACTCACTTTTTTTTTAACTGACTAATCATCTTGTTTGATCCCGCCCCTTTTCGCAGCAGCGTATACCATACGCATGCTCAAACTCTAGTGTGACCGCGGCTTTAGACCTCTAAAAAGGGCGTCTCTTCCCCTAAATAAACTTTGATGTCAGTCAATTTAAATTTAAACAAAACAAAGACCAGAGAAATGCAAATTAACCAAAAACCAGACATGTCTTGACTTCACAAGATGAAAATACCCTAAACAGAATGCTTAAGTGTCTGTTTTCCCCCACGTCATATTCATGATGTTGCCTATTGTTATCATTATTTGATGTAGCAATTAGAAATGCATCTCTTTGCAATAGATTTTGATTTGTGTTGTTTTTCTGGCAAATTAGTTTCCATTATTTACATTAACCCTTTTTTGTACAAGAACATGCATGTCAAGGGAGCGTAAAATCTTTCTTTGCAAATTAAGAGATTTGCATTCAAGATTTGGTGTTTCAATCACTAATTTCTTATTTGATACTTCAAAATGTGCATCAACCGGGTGATTGAAACCCAGCCAATGACAGTGTGCACTTTAAATGACCCAGAATATACTATTTTTATTATTAAATTTATCATTGTCCTCTTTTGGTATGGAAAGGATCAAACAAAACTAACTGCAATACAAATGTGTCCACATCTTGAGTATTGATCCTATTGGACTGAATAAGAACCATCTAACTGTATATGATTAGGTAATTTGCAAGAGATCAAAGTCTTTGTAGGGTAATTAAAAAAACTTGTCAATTCCACATAATGCCTGATGTGAATCCGCTATGATGTCTTGCTAAGCCCATAATGGTCTATTGTGTTGTTCCAGTTGTCACAGGAATTCGCCAAACACTTAGTAATGGCAGCTGTTGTTCGGATTTCCCCCGAAACCTGATTGACTTGACTGAACAATCCAGAACTAAAACCAGTTTGATGCTAAAACAGCAGAGCATGAGCATATGAAAACAAAACTTTGATTGTAGCTCTGTCTTGTCCTGAGATTTATGACAGTCCCTGTCTGTTTAGACGTGTGCTGGGTTCTGGTCCCTCAGAATGGAGTTGAGCGGGACAGCTGCTGTCATTGATTGTTTTAGCCACACTCCTCAGGGATGAACTCCTGACGTTGACGGCTCCGTTTAAGCAGGACATTCTCATCAGTCGGGTTTAGCTGTAGCCAGTGATGCTAGCAACTTTCAATTGCATCTTGCGAGCTAATGATTTCATCACTTGTGCTGGACTCTGGAGCTGGTCTCATGTCTCTTACTCATTGTGGTCTTGGTTTTTGGACATGGCCCCTTTTATGTCCGAGGTCTGTATTTTGCAGACAAATTAAGATTTTCCAAAGATCACTGGTTTCCTTGGTTAAGGTGCAGTCACATTATTGCCATTTCAGTGCATTTTCCTATGCAACGTCCAGAAATTTTCATAAGAATCTAAGTAGTGTGGGATTGAGAAGGCAAAATGCAGATTCCCAGGATTTTCATGCAAACACAAATATTTGCCTTGCACAGATTTTCAAACAAGTTTAAATTGCTTACATGGATTTGGTGTGTTCACCTGAAGAAAGCTGGTTTGTAGTAACTTCTGTGTGGGCAGTGCTTCATATATTGGTATAATATTAATGACATTTCACTTTTTTGACATTAAGTTCAGTTTGAACTGTCATGATTATGTAAGGCAGGGGTGTCAAACTCAATTCCTGGAGGGCCGAAGCCCTGCACAGTTTAGTTCCAACCCTGCTCCAACACACTTACCTGTAGGTTTCAAACAAGCCTGAAGGACTCAATTAGTTTGATCAGGTGTGTTTAATTAGGGTTGGAACTAAACTGTGCAGAGCTGCGGCCCTTTTGGAACTGAGTTTGACACCTGTGATGTAAAGCCTATGTGGGGATCACACAAATACAGAATCATCTCACAGAACTATGGCTCTGCGTAGTAAACATGGCTACATTTGAAAGCAGGTGCTAGAGATTTACAGCTCATTACAGAACCTGCTTTACTGACAATGCTGTGAAAATGTATGCAAAAGCTGTTTCCAGAAAAGTCCAGAAAGTTCCTTAAAAACTAATTGAAACTAAGGTGCAAAATGCAGTCAGTTCAATAGGAATTTGAACTTGATTCCCTGGATATTCAGGTAAACATGAATATTTGCATTTGCCCTGCACAGATTTCCAAACAGGTTTAAGTTGCTTACATGGATTTGCATGGTTTACTGAAAGAAGCTGGTTTGTAGTAATGTCTGTGTGGGCAGTGCTGCTTATATTGGTGATATATAATGTCGATGAAAATGATTTTGTAATGCCTATAGAAAACGATGAACGATAAATTGAAGTGTAATTGCCTTTCAGCAAAAGCTGCAATTTTTGTTATCAAATTTTTGTCATCATCATCTCCAAAAGCCAGATGGCACTCTCATGTGGAAACAGCATTTATTGATTCGATCAGACTAATGATCACACAAATATAGAATCAATTAGGGCTGCTCGATTTTGGGAAAAATCATAATCACGATTATTTTGGTCATAATTGTTATCACGATTATTTAAAACGATTATCAGTTGAAA